GGTTCCCCAAAACCTAAGAACAAAAAAACCACACCTTCTGCCCCACCAAAAAGAAAAGGAGGGCATCCTAAATATTTTTCAAAGCATAAAATTCAGATGACATATTGTTCAAGTAGCCAATAAGGCACATGGCATGCTAAGAAAGTGCCGCCTTTATTGAAGCAAGACATAGTTTTTAAAGATTTGTGTGAAAAATGAGAGTATTCTTAGGACTAAAACCACAAAACACAAGGGAAAAAAACAAAAGAAGCATACTACTTAAAAGTAAAGGGCGAAAAAGGAGATTGAATTTATTGGCATATCAAATAACATGGTTCGTTAAAACAACATACAAACTATCTTCAAAATTTGCTTGCAACTTGAACCAAATTATGTGATGCAATGCTAGTCCCAAAAAGCAAACTAAATAAAAATTTCTGGCCTACCAGCTATAAGGTTAGCGAAGTGAATATTCAGATATACTGTCGATTTGAATACGCATATACAAAATAAGTACCAAACGAATAATATAGTGCACAAAAATTTAAAGCATAATATATTAGCATGAACATTTGAAACCAAGAAACAGACACATCTATTTCAAGTACACAACCATTTGCTCCTACGTCCAGGTTTAACACTATTATCTGTTGCATATTATTTATGAGATGAAACACTCATAAATCATTGGTTAGTTAAAGAAAAATTGAAAACAAATGTTAAGTGATTGAATTTTTTGACATTGAAGCAGACCAAAAAGGCATGAGCGTATTACACACCCCTGATTGAAGGGCTTTACCTGGAGTAGATAAGTGCAATTATGTCTCTGCCTAAGGTTAAGAACGATCATTGTTTCTTGTGGCATGCTTTTAAGGACTATCCACCATTCTATTGGAAGATTAATACTCTACAAGGACTAAATTTAGTAGTTTCACAGAATGAATCTCAAACTTTTAGTATCGTTGGCTGCCATAGTACCATTTCTCCACTTTTTACATTGTATAGGAACTAGGAAATAATTGTGCTTAATAATTCTAATACAGAAAAACTCAATTTTTTTCAATTACTAGAGATTGCTGAAGGGAGAAACAGAGATAAAATCAGTTGTATAACAAACACATCAGGAAGACTTAAACTAAAGGGGAGTAAATAGAAAATAGCCCCCACTCCTTAGCGGCATCCAAATCTCGGTGTTAAGAAGTTGATAAAGGCACCAAAACAAATTAAATTGAGCTCCATGTAACATCACTTCTTTCTTTTACAAGAAAAACAAATAACTCTTCTCAAAGAGCTGATACTGTACCAATATGAAATCAGAGGGAAGAACATGATAGCCAGCAGAAAGACAACTACTAATAGACCAACAACGACACAAATCAGTGAAAGACCCAATTAGCACAATCAGAAAATAAGAATAAAATGCTTTGAATATAAAAAAAACAAATAANAAGAAAGACAACTACTAATAGACCAACAACGACACAAATCAGTGAAAGACCCAAATTAGCACAATCAGAAAATAAGAATAAAATGCTTTGAATATAAAAAAAACAAATAACATGCTATAAAATTTAAAACAATCTTCAGGGAAGAATGTAAACAATCAGATCTACGACAAAACTCAAAGAACCAATTCATGAAAGGTAGATTAGATCCATGCAGTAAAAGCAGCTGTAACTAAACTAATCATCACTGAAAACAAGGAGAACTCAAAAACTTTAAAACCCCAAAAACCATATCCAGTACCACAAACATACAGTGTGGTGAGGAATGAAACTCACCAGGTCTGCCATCCGAAGAAACTCTGTAGTGTGAATCTGATAAAAGCATGTCAAGAAACTAAAGAGCCACCAAGACCCAGATGGATTCTGTCTCTATATACGGCTTTGACAGTTACAAGAACACAAACAGAGACCTCGGAAGCAAAAACTATGACCTGAAAGGTACTATTAACAATCCAGATCGAGCAAATTGCAGAGCGAATATAGATTCCAAAAGTCCAAAGATTCGCACATGTGAGATGAAGTGGCCCCTCTTCACCTCCCCTAAAGAGGCAAGTACAGATGTAGAGAGAGAGAGAGAGAGAGAGCAGAGAGTAGAAACCTGAAGAGATAGATACTTGTTGATTGGTTCTGTTAGTATGAAGTCTGAAATCTGGGGTATAATCTACCTAAGAATTTTTCTATACCTATGTGAGGAAATGTAGAAAGTCCAAGGGTACTTCGGTATAAGAAGGAAGGTGTAGGATTTAGGAAGACTAAGGGGTACTTTAATTTGTTTACCACTTGACCTTATCAGGATCCCCAATCAGTATCAAGCAAATTTTTACGCCATATTTGGGTCCCACATAAAAAAAATTCAAACTTTATAATTAGGCCTATATATAAACTTTATAATTATGCAAGAAGTTTAAACTGGTTCAGTGTAAGCGATTATTGAAAGTTCAAATTATAAAACGAGTCCANCATATATAGTAGGCATGTCTAAGCTAAAAATTATGCAAGAAGTTTAAACTGGTTCAGTGTAAGCGATTATTGAAAGTTCAAATTATAAAACGAGTCCAATTTATTTTTTTTTATATAAATAGATTGAATTTCATACCAAAAAAATCTTATTCATCGAACAAGAAGAATTTCAATTATTTCAAATAATCTTTTCAAATGGTCAAGACTATCCTATTTTTGATTGCTATGCCCAACATTTTTAATTTGGGGCCATAGCCTAGAAGCTTAGATTTCGGAGGCGGTCGATATATAAGGAAGTCCAAAAGATGATAAATTCTAATTTTATTGCAAATAACTCTTAACTATATGTTTATTAGAGGTGATCTGTATTTGAATGTACAGTACAATATGAATGATTTTAAGAAGAATTTTGGTGATCGTTAAATAAATTTATTTGAGACTATCAGATAAACTTATTGAAATATGTCTTGTTTTATATTATAGATTCACTCTCGCTTTTAGGTGGTTATGATTTCAAACCTTCTCTTTTTTTTTCTCTTTCCACCCCCAAATTTTTTTTAATAGATACACGCACACACAATTTTTAGGTGATGTTGGAGTGAATATTTACTCTTTTTACGAATGGCTAATTTTCCAGTTAATTAGTATATTCAATCTCATTTTCTATGTCTGGGTAGTGTTTTATAATGATAAGAACGTGTGTCACACGTTCCCCTACTAGCCTAACCACCAAAACTGAGTAGCCCAAAAAGCAAAAGCTTATGAAGTCATGAGGGAGTGGTGGAAATAATTACTTCCGTCCAATCAGTAAGACTTTCTTCTATTTGAATCCCACGACTTGTTGATCAAAGTAGATGGCCAAACATAATCTGCCTAATAAAAGTTAATCAATGAGGCAGTGCACAATGGCTTTTTTATGGGCTTCAATAGTTTAAAAAGTTGTATTCGTTGGGGGTAAAAATCGCGCGTTCGAATTTCATCCTTAAACTCAATTCAAATCTCATTCTTAAATTCAAGGATTTTGGTTTGACCTGGTTAACCCATTGGGCGACCCCCAGTAGCATTTACCCCTCTTGCCCCGCAGGAGTTTCGTCCCACATCGGATAGGAGTCGTCTTTTCCCCTCACATATAAACTCTTGCACTCAAAGGATGAGGTACCCACTAGCGACCTGATATAAGTCCTTACACTTAAAGGAGAAGGTACCAACTAGCACTTGATCAGGTCGCTAGTGGGTACCTTCTCCTTTGAGTGCAAGGGTTTATATGTGAGGAGGAAAGACGACTCCTATCCGATGTAGGATGACGGTAAAGACTACTGGGTGGTCACTTTGCCACACGCCAGGTCAGCCGGAATCCTTTCAGAGGAGGTAATCATGTCCACCAAAAGGCGTCTTTTTGTTAGGGGTAGAAATCGCGTGTTCGGATCTCATCCTTAAATTAAAGGATTTCGGCTGACCTAGCGTGTGCCAAAGCGACCACCCAATAGCCTTTGACCTCCATCCCACATCGGGTAGTAGTCATCTTCCCCCCTCACATATAAACCCTTGTACTCAAAGGTTCTTGAGTTCAGAGATGACATCCGAATACGCGATTTTCACCCCTAACAGTATTTATTTTGAATTTTTGGATTTTTTTTTCGTTTTTATACACGAGTTTGTCCTTTTTTTTTGTAAATTTTTATTCACATGTACAACATTTACATATTTGTGCATATCTATAGGGTGTTATCATAAAGTACAACCTTCTAAATCCTTTAGATTTGGCAATTTATTTTATAATATATGTTTTAATTTTTTAGTTATAATAATTTTATTTAATTTTTTAGTTTATCATATCTTTTATAGACATCCTCTTTATTATACAAAACATCATTGACACCTCCGTCTAATTTATATTTATACATCACTAAAACCCCTGCCTTTAAATCACCATTTCTAACCAAAAAAAGAATATCAAAAATACTAAAGTTGCCCCTACATAAACTCTAAACAATTTTTTTATATAAAATTATATTAAAATTTGAGCCAACTAAAATTTATTTTTCTACATATCAAAATTTGAGTTTGTTAAAATTCATTTTTTTTTTTGCATATTAAAATTTAAGCCGATTAAAATTTAATTTTTTTACATATTGAAATTTGAGCCAATTTGAACTTAACTCAAGCTGCTAGTAGGTTGACCAAAAAAAAAAGCTGCTAGTACCAATTAAAATTTGATTCGACTTAATTAAAATTTGTAATTTAAAAAAAAAAATCGTGTCAATTAAAATTTGATTCTAGTTGATTCATCTTTATTTTTTACGTATTAAAATTTGAATTGATTAAAATTTATATTTTTTATTTATTAAAATTTAGGTCAATTAAAATTCAATGTCATTTGATTACAATTTAATTCCAGCCGATTAAAAATTTTAATCAATTCGAATCGAATTTTAATTAACTCAAATTTTAATAAGTATAAAAATATAAATTTTAATTGAATCAAATTTTAATATATAAAAAATAAATTTTAATTAACTTGAATCGAATTTTAATACGTAAAAAAAATTTTAAAAACAGATAAGGTCTTATTGAAGATATATCTATCTAATAAAATTTTTTCTAAAACATATCATGAGCGATTTAGTAAAAATTCCAAAAATAGAGGGGTGTCGGTGAATATTCAAAAAATAAAAAAGGTGTCCTTAAAGATGGTAAACTAGAAAGAGCATAGCTGAAATTTGCCATGTACTTTAAATTACGACCCGTTTTGAGTTATATTTAGTGATCTTGATTTATTCCGATCGATCATACATAGTTAAAAATAGGACCAGTCCATGATAAAACATTACCAATTATATTATCGATTTATACTGATCGACCATACATAGTTAAAAATAAGACTAGTCCAACAATCGCACTAAAATGAGCGCAATTCGATTGGGAAGAGATCATTTCTCTTCATTTTGTTCAGAACCTGCAGTCCCAATCCCCATCTTTGGACCATCCAACCTTGGATGACTGGTTAAGACCTTTCCATTGGCCTGGTCAAGGCGAATTATGATGGAGCTTTTAATAAGAAGACGAAGAAATCAGCAGTAGGCGTAGTGATCAGGGATCATACAGGGAGTAGTTTTAGATGGATTAGCATTGCAGCCTTTTTTTGTTTCCAATCTTTATTCGGAAGCATTGGCCTTGTGTGAAGCATGCTTGTGGCTTTCGGCGTTACAGAGGTTTGAGGCAAGTGTGGTGAGTGATTCACAAGTTCTGATATCATTGTGTATCGGTGAAGATGCTCCTCCTTGGGAGATTGCGGCTTTGGTGAAAGATATTAGATTGATTTCTAACAATCTTAGACTTAGTTTGGTATATAATCCCCGTATTACTAACAAGGCATCCCATTGGGTGACCAACGCGATAATGTATTTTTCACTCCCAGAAGACTAGGTTTTTAACCCACTCACGGAGTTGAGACATATCCTTTCAATTGACTGTAAGCATGATCCGATTTCTTAATGAAAATTTTACTTTCTAGTTCAAAAAAAAAAAAGAATGTTAACTAATAATTTGGTGTTAATTTGATAAATTGAATACTAATTTGACCAATTAAATATAAATTGAATAAAATTGAATGTTAGTTTGACGTTGATTTGATAAATTGAATATTTATTGGATGATATTAACGTTAATTAGATGATTTTGAATATAAATTGAAGGAATTGAATATTAATTTGATGTTAATTTAATGACTTGGATATTAATCAAAATTGAATTGAATGTTAATTTGATAAATTTAATGTTAATTAGTTGAATTTGAATGTGAAATTTGATGAATTGAATGTGTTAGTGTTATGTCAATTTGCTAATTGTATGTTAATTAAATATTTTGGAGATAAAATGATACTTTAGAAACTAAATTAATAAAACGTTCATGCATTAGGGATAAAACTGTTAGTAGATACAATTGCCAAATCAGGATCAGTATCTTGATTTTCTAAAATAGGAAATAACACTTTTATCCTCAAAATATGTATATTTTGTCAGTTTAACACCTAATATATCAAATTTTAAAATTTTATCCCTAAAGTATTCAATTAACATACAATTCAACAAATTGACATGACGTTAACCTAATCAAATTAATATTCAATATCATTTAATAGCATGTAACTCATCAAATTAATATTCAATCTCATCTAATATTCAATATCATCTAATATCATTCAATTCATCAAATAGAGGGAGTATTCTTGAAGATATTATAATTTAGAAAGGGTGCAACATAAATTTTCTCATTAAAATAAGAACTTTAATAAGATCGGTAACAAAAAAATAAGATATGCCATGATCGACCTAATTGGTAGAAGATCTTTAACAAGACTGGCCATGATAAATCATGACGGATCCTGATTTGTAAGATTTGTCACCTATTGTTCTTATACTCATGAGCAACAAGGCATAGTCGAGAAAAAACATCAACACCTTCTTAAAACCGACCTATCTCTCTTGCACCTTGCCTCGGCCCCCATGCAATTTTGGGATTTTGCTTTTGCCATAGCCTGTCATTTGATAAATAGGTTACCCTGATCTACTTGGCATCTCACTTTGTTTCGTTTTTCTTTAACCCCGATGAAATGGTGAATTTGGAGAAGGTGGAGATGACCTGTCGGACTTCATCAATGGTTGACCTCACTGAACTTACGAACTCTGAAGCCGGAACCTTCAAGTATTCGGGCTGAACGTAATAGGAGCCAGAGCTAACAAAAGTAAAGGAAGAGTAAGATACTGCAAGCGGGGATACTAATTACGCTTTTTAGTGATGTTAATTTTTTTTTACCTTTAAAAGCGGGTTGGTTGACCCTGCTTTTTAATAAAAGGGAAGTTATTAATTTTGTTTTTAAAAACTGTCGTAATTTTAGTAAATAAGTTTAAAAATATCGTATTTTGGTAATTTTGTTTGTAAATGACTATATTTTGGTGATTAACTCCAGTCAATTCTATTTTTAAAGTATTTTTCTAAAACTATAAGTGGTAACTAGTCTATAATTGCAACTCATACAAAAAATGGCAAAACTAATTGCATATAATCTATTTTCCGAGCCCTAATGGTTGTGCAAAATTGCACTATCAAGCCTGCCCGGTCTTCTAAAGCGCCTGCTCCTTACATCTTGTTTAATTAAAGTCATGTTCGTTGTATCATCCATTTGCTTTAATTATTCGGATTTCTAGACATCAACAGTTCCATCTTTTATTGGCTTTGGTTCATATTTATTGTTCATGGATGATTTGTCTCATTTTTGTTGGGTATTTCCAATACGTAGGGAATCCGAAGCTCTTGCCAAGTTTAAAATGTTTCATGCCTTTATTTCCACACAATTTCATATCTCAATCAAGAATTTTCAGTGTGATAATGGGCGTGAATATGTTAATAATTCTTTCCAATCTTTACTTCTTTCATGTGGCATACGTTTACAGTTGGCTTATCCCCACACTCATCAACAAAATGGGGCTGTCAAACGTATGCATCATAAAATTATTTATATGGTTCGCACCTTATTATTTCAAACATCTCTACCTCCTAATTTTTGGGTAGAAGTTCTTCATACTAATATTCATATTTGAATCTCATCCCTAAGTATACTCTAAATAATTTATCTTCTTCACCAACCTTTATCTACTCGGCTGGATTCTTCGCCTTCTTTTCTTCGTCGCCCCGCACACCTTTTTTCCCCTCACCAGTCCACTTCCACTTGCACTCCTTCTCCTTTAGCCAAAATCTGCCCAAACTCCCGCCTCTTCAGATTTTGTTTTATCTCCTTCCAATACCAGTCCACTTTCGGCTATCCCACCCCACCCCACCGCCTGGACTCCACCTCTCCCTTCTCTTCCAAATCTTCTCCTACTTTATCCCCTTGCATGGATAACTTGCAATCTTTGGATACTTTGGATACTTCTTTATCCTCTCTCTGATCTTCCAAATCCTCTCCAACTTTATCTCCTTGCATGGATAACTTGCAATATTCGGCTAATTTGGATACTTCTTTATCTCCTCATTTGGATAGTTCACCCTCTTCGGTTAACTCTAGCTCAGCCGCTGCTCACGAAAATTATGCTAGTTCGAAAACTTCGAATAATTCAGAATCTTCTAGTCCCTCATCCCATTCTTTTGCTTCTTCTTCTGGTATCAAGGATTCTCTCTGTCCTCCAACCGTTTAACTCACCTAACGGTCACTCGAACCAAAGATAGAACCCGTCAACCCCGCATTTTACCTTCTCGATTTCATACTCGTCACTCTTCCCCACTTATGTCTGAACCACATACATTCACTGAAGCTTTTCACAATGCCCATTGGCATCAAGCCATGGTTGACGGATATACGTCATTGCTTCAAAATAATANTCGTCAACCCCGCATTTTGCCTTCTCGATTTCATACTTGTCACTCTTCCCCACTTCTGTCTGAACCACATACATTCACTGAAGCTTTTCACAATGCCCATTGGCATCAAGCCATGGTTGACGGATATACGTCATTGCTTCAAAATAATACTTGGTCCTTGGTTCCACTGCTGCCTGCTACCAATATCATTGGCTCAAAGTGGTTTACAAAATAAAACAGAGACCCGAAAGTTCTTTGGAATGTTACAAGGTCCATCTTGTTGCTCAAGGATTTCGTCAAAAACCAGGCGTTGATTATGATGAAACTTGTAGTCTAGTGGTCAAACCAACGAAGATCCGAACGATTCTCTCACTTGCCTTGTCTAGAAATTGGTCAGTTTATCAACTCAACGTCAAGAATGCATTTTTTCATGGTTCGTTGACTAAAACTGTTTACATGAAGCAACCCAAAGGCTTTGTCCACCAGCAATATCCCCATCATTTTTTATGTTAATTGAATAAAGCCATTTATGGTTAAAAACAGGCACCCTGTGTGTTAGAATATGTGTGACTCATATTTGCTGTGTGCATAATGGCAAGGAGGCAGNTTCCCTATCATTTTTTATGTTAATTGAATAAAGCCATTTATGGTTAAAAACAGGCACCCTGTGTGTTAGAATATGTGTGGCTCATATTTGCTGTGTGCATAATGGCAAGGAGGCAGATGCCAGAGCGTGATTTGTATAAAGGGGACGCTGATTAGTTGGGGGTGTGGGGGCAACGCCCCTGCGGTACGGTACAGGGGTATTTTTGTAAATACGTCCGTATTAGGGTTATATAAATACTTAAGATGTAACCCTACTTTGAATAATGAAACAGAACGGGCGCTCACTCTCGTGGATGTAGGCACATTGTCGAACCATATAAATCTCTGTGTGTTATTTTCTCCTGCTTTCTTAATTGTTTGATTCCTTACTATTCACCATATTTGCTGCACGATCACAACA